GGAGATATACTCAAAGCATTCCTGCTAAGAGCAAGACAAGTATGTCCGCTGTCTCCACTTCTACTCAATACAGTGTCTGAACTCTTAGCTCATGCAGTAAGGAAAGGGAAGAAAATAAAAGTGATAAAATTAGTGAAGGAGAAAGTCAAACTATCACTATTTGAAGATGTCATGATTCTGTACATGTGATCCTAACAATTCCATCAGAAACCTCTAAGAACTGATAAACACTTTCAACAAAGTAGCCGGTTGCAAAATTGATAACTTCAGAACTATTTTCTCTTGTGCAATCAGTACCTTTAATGTGCAACACTCCTTGAGTTGTGGAAGTGCCAGGGTTGGAGTCTAGCCACTGGGATAGTGAGAATTCTTATTCCACCACTTACTTTTTCCTCTGTGACATTGGGACTTAAATGGGGAGGAAGGAGGGGGACAATAAAAGAGAGAAGTGAAATGGAGGCCAACAAAGAGAGAGGGGCTAGGGATAAATAACACTAAAAATGCTTGAAAAATCACTAGGGAATCATATTATTGTATATTTACCTAAAAATACGTATAATACAAATAAGCATATGTGTATGCACAAGAATACTATTTAAAGTTATATCACTTTGATGATAATACTCCCCACAAAAGCTATATAATTCCTAGCAAAAACTCTAGTAGCAAACATGAGAAACCTTTCATGTTGTTGGTCAGGGGTGTACAAAATACTCCCCCCAGGGGCTATTGCTACTGCCCTTGGTTGCCTCCCAAAGTTGAAAGTAAGTCTCTGTTGCTGAGGACACCACAGAACTGAGAGGAAGAAAACTGGAACTGACCTGAAATTTAACTTCCCTGAGGACTAACCTTCAAGTAGTAAAAGATGCTATGCAAGCTGCTGAAGATAAAAAGCGGTTAATAGTCATACCCAGTGGTGACCCCTGCAAGCTGCAATAAGAACTAGCGTAGCACGATACCCCTAAATGATCAGAAATCATACTTATATCTCAGCAGCAACCAACAGCTATAAGGCCCCTGAACAAGACAGAAATCATGCCTGGTACTATAGCCCTGATAGCTTTATTTTTTCATATGTGTCTGTGTTAGAGTTGTTGACTTTAGGTTAAATCCCGACCACTTTAGAGTAGCACTACATCTACATCTCGGGGCTTCAGTTTCTTCATTGGTGGGTGGAGGCTAATAGTTACCACAACCTAGGGCTGCTATTAGGATTGCTAGTAATGCGTGCACTATGTCTACGTCAGCATCTGGCCCCATGGAGGCAGCCTATGCTTTGCTGCTGTGATACAGATGGTAATAAGAAACAATGATGACAAGAATATGGAAGAAAACACCAGAAAGGTATATGACAACATATCATTGTGGGGTTAAGTTTTATTTCCTTCATCTTGCTTATCTACATATGAATCATTATTAGAATGTTAATTTAATATTCTAAAAATAATATTGCTTCTTTTTTAAGCAAGAAATTTATCTCATTGGGCAGATTCCAGTCTGCCTCTGCTCAACTCTTGATTTATATGTTTGAGTAACACCTCCCTGTGTTTCATTTCTCTAGTCTGTAAAATGAGAAGGGAAAGGCTTAAAAGCGACTACATAATCCTAGAGTCTTCGACATGTTACAAAGCATCGATATGCAGCAACTCATTGGGAAACACTTATTATTTCCCATGTTCTCTGCTGGCCCAAATTTCTGATGCAGATGACCAGCATAAAACAAACTCTAAATGCCAACTCTGGCCCTTCAAGTCTCAAGTCATCTAAGCACATGAGGGTAGTTTTGCCTATGGCAGGGTCTGACTGCTTTCTAGAAAATGACCTAGCCCTGAGAAAGTCGGACTCCTATGCAACCCTGAGAAACTAAGAAAAGAAACAGGAAAAGGATAAAACAAGGGCATTCATGTTTGCGGAACATCTATAATAGAGATTATTATAATATAAACCTCATTAAGGCCTCACAACAACCTATGTGCAAAGTTGTATTGCCTAGATTTCAAAGATGAATTCCTAGAAGTTCAAAGTTAGTGCCCAAGACCAGAAGGTACTAACTAACTAACTTCAAAGCAGAATGTGAGAAAGGCTAGCTAAGCCTGGTAGCACGTTCCATGATGTCTAGGTGAGATCTGAGATCTACTGGATCTGAGATCTACTGAACTGGATGTCAGTCAGCTTCAAGCCTGCAGAGCTCTGCCTGAGTAGCATTACTAAGGCCATGTGCGGTAAGGGAATTGATTTTATTATGAACAAGTAGTCCATAGAGGGCGATCTCCTTCAGTCATGACTGACTCACTCTGGCAAGCATCTTCAAAGCTTTCATTCAAAAGCTTTGTGTTTCAAAGGCCCCCTGCTGCGACCATACTCTGCAGGTCTATGTGGGAAATGACCAGGACAGCCATGGAGCAGTGACAATCCTTCCATACCTCGAGAAGAGCAGAGACAAGGGTATCTGAAAAGTGGTCAGGCTTCATAGAAGACCTTAGGGAAGTGAATAATGGGACTGTTTTGTTTGCTTGCTTTTTTCCTGCCTTTTTCCTCCCCTTTTCCACCCATACACTTCTGTGCTCCTCTGACTGATGGATCACAGACCAAGGGCACGCGAGAGTAAAGCCAGCATGTACAATGCCGTGAAGTTTTCAGCCCCTCCGCTGGCACTAGCTTGCCTCTTCAAAGGAAGTAGCATAAAAAGGAGGGAGCAATAAAGTTACAGTCTTGAAATCCAGGAACCTTTACTGTGTTTGGACAACCCCATTATAAATTAGGATACTTAACCTTGATTAAGCAATATCATAGTTAAATGTTAAAGTTATGTGTCCATTGTCTTCACTGTAATCATAATAGGCACTTTCTATCTACCAGGTCAAGCGTGCAATGTAATATTCCTCAAGATTTCACCATGACCTTATGAGGCAGACACAGTTTTACACCCATAATATTCAGTGACTGAGTTGTAGCACAGGAATATTGGGTTCCTTTCCAATGTCACAGGGGAGGGGAAAACGTGGTGGAATAAGAATTCTCACTATCCCAGTGGCTAGACTCCAACCAACCCTGGCACTTTCTCAAAGTAAGTTTCTGATTGCCGCTGGCAGACAGCCATAGACACAGTTGTGCCAGTAAATAAGAATTATTCAAACAAATAATTTTCATGGATTTCCCTGCCCCATGTAAGCAGTCCTATATGAATCAGCTGCTGGGATGAGAGTAGATCAGAGGACCGGGCAGCAGAGGAGTGATTTCCAGGACAGCTGCATGCTATTGGATCACAGGGCACCCAGGTGGACCTGCACTGACCTAACAAGATGCACATATTGAGGGAACTGAGTTTCTTTGCTAGGATACAAGTGTCTGACTGTGAGGTGTGTAGCTATGAGAAAGGAAAGGTGGGGAAATGATCAGCCTAAGCAACCACTCCTACCAATTTATTTCAGGGGCTGAAGCTCACCAGTCTGCCCTCCTCCTGATGCCATGGAGTCCTTTCTTCTCCCTGAGCATGTCTACTCGCAAGCCAAGGGCCAATAAGGAATGGAAACAGAAAGGCAGGTGCCTTACTGTCTCAAGTGGCTTATTAGCATCTCTGAGGTCCTCATACAGGGTGGCACGCGTGGGGCTGGTTTATACCCTTCGCAGCAAGAATTCTTTTTGTATCTCTCCTCCCTGTTGAGTGGGGTGAGGCAGGGAACATGCCAGAAATATTTTTTAAAAAAATCCCCCACTCCTGTCCCATTTTCCTCCTCCTTTACTTCCCATTCTCTCCTTCCCTCACCTCTCCAGCACATAAGGAGGCCCATCCCTGAAGCTGGTTACTTATGAGGACATAATTGGACTGGAAGAGAAAGTGGGAAGGAAGAGTCGGGAGCTGAGGAGGCCAGCTGGGCAGTCAACCCAGATGTTACATACATCTGCCAAGGAGGGGCATCCCTGAGAGTCAAGCTGGGAGCCAAACACTGCTCTGCCATCATCTCAAAGGCCTTGGGGGTTAGGGTCCTAGTGGCCCGTTACAGGGTTAGAGCCCCAGGTTGGCCAGGAGGAATGAATGAGATCTCATTCAGGAGACCTGTCATGGCACCCTGGGACTGTGCTAAAGCAGGCAGTGTGTTCTCTGAGGTTTGTTCTTTTCCTCTTACTAACTGGGAGCTGCCCTTGATCTTTGGACCTCTTCCCAGGCCCAGGAGAGGTAAAAATCTGATATTGCCTTGGGTGTGACCCCAGCCAGCCTTGTTAATAAACATTCCTTCCTGTTTCTCCCGGGCGACAAAGGAGAAGGGAAGCAAGGTCCGAGGACAACAGCAGAGGTCATGCCAGACAGACCTCAGCAGGGGAAGCAGCCCTGGCTAGAGCTGAGTCAGTCCCTGGCTTTTTCCTATTTGTGTAGTTCCGTCGCGGAGACCAATCAGCCCGAGGTGGGTTGAACTGTAACCTACCTCTACCTGGAACTTGCAAATGAGTCGGCATTCTCTGCTTTCACCAAAAAGTTACTCTTCATTTTCAAGGTGAAGTCTCCCACCCCACTTTTAATTCCCTCATCAAGGGAACACTGTGGCAGTACACTTGAGTTTGGGCCTACTTAAATGCCATTTTAAGGGGCTGTTCAAACTCTGTGAATACTTCCCTATGTTTTAGGCTAAAGTAGATTAAAGTCTCAGTAACAGATTGTCATTGTTTATCACACCAAAAAAGCTTGAGCTCTACGTGTGTTTAGCATGCATGAGGTTCAACCGCCAACATATAAAAAAAATCAAATTTATATATTTGATATATATGTGTATAGATATGTGTGTGTTTGTGTCTAAAAAGGCTTCCCATTATAATATACTCAAAACCCCTTTTCAATTCTTTTGACTGAAACTCCTATATATGTTTAACATTCTCCTGCTAATAAAATGCAGTCTCTTGTTTATTATTTTTAATAAATTTTTTATTACTTATTTTTTTCCAAATTCTCACTCCCTCCCCTCCTCCCATTCCCTCCACACACCCTCCCACCCAACCCCCTCTAATCCTCAGAGAGGGTAAGGCACTTTGCTTTGTGGAAGATCCAAGGCCCTCCCTACTACATCTAGGCTGAGCAATGTATACAGCCAAAGGGAATAGGATCCTTGTTTATTATTAAAAGACCTTTTCTCATATCCTTCAAAAAACCCAACCCCTATTCTGTCTTCCCCTTATTTAAATAAGATTAATTTTAGTAGAGTTCCTTTGTCAGTGTTACGTTTTATGTTTATACACAACCATAGCCATTAAATAGTTTTTAAGCCAGTTATTCAGGAAGATTCAGTCTTGCTCTCCAGTGTGGTTATGATACTCTCTAGATTAAAGCTCTCCAGGAACTTGCAGTGTTGCTAGAATACTTCTTTCCAGGAGCACTGGGCCGTCTGCAGCCTCTTCTCCGTCTGTCTCACCCACGAGGTGCCCCTCATCCATCGTGGGCCCACATTGCCTTTCTGCCCCTCTATAAGCCTCAGTTCTTTCACATTCTTTGGACTTGCTGCTGATTCTTTTATTTTCAGGATCACTTCCTTCTCGTAGATGACATGTCATCTTAGAGAGGCCACTGCTCCTTGTCTGCCAAGCAGGCTGTGATCTTTCCATGCTCCACATCTATCCTAGCTGCCTGAATGTCATACTATTTTGAAGTTTTTGCTTGTTTTCTTATTTATGAGCTTTTGTCCATTTTCACTCTTCCTTGGGTTCTTTATGATGCTCTAGAAAAGGAAATGAATTTCTTTTGTAGGTAAGTTTGTGGCTGGCAGTAGGAATTCTTTTTTTTAATTTTTTCAGCTTCATACACATTTTTAAAAATTGCTGGGCATGCTAGTGCAAGCCTTTAAGCCTAGAACTCGAGTTAAAGACAGGTGGATCTCTGTGAGTTCGAGGCCATCCTGGCCTACATAGTGAGGTCCAGGCTAGTCAGAGCTACATAGTAAGACCCTGTTTTAAAAGAGAAAAAAATAAAAGAATACATTGGGCTCATAATCATCCTCTCTTACCCTCTTTTCTCCTTCTATCTCCTGATGACCTGGAAGGGAATTTTCTGTTCTTTGCTTATCGTAGTTTCTAGAACAACATCTACTACATAGCAAGAACTCAATAAACAGTGTTCGAGAAACAGTGTTGGCTCATCTCCATACCTACTTGAATAATTCGGGTTGCCTTGAGTCTTACTTTGCATTGAGTATTCTCATCGAATTATCCGGTTTCAGGATATCCTCAGGTAGTTGTCAAACATCCAGAAGTTGACAATCTCCAATGTTGTCCAGTCCAGCTCTAGACAGAAAGGGTAAGAGAATGCCTTACACCCTTTAATGCCCCAGGTATCCTTCTCAAACCTTTTGTCACAAGGCATAAGTGAAAACTGAATGACAGTAGTCAGTGGGGAATCTGAGCAGGGCCCTAATGCGCCCGCATCTTTGAAGGCTTGTGTTTTATTTTTAAAATGCAGATGAACTTTACATTCCAATGGTCGAAGCATCTTGATTTGATTTCGTTTACAAGAGCTTCCCTTTCAGGCTGTTGGAGAAATAAATGAACCCTCCAAGAAGATGTGCCCTGTGTACCTTGGAAAGTCACCAAGAATTCCAAGAGTATGCGGCACAATGACTCCATCCAGAAAGGACTCTGGAGGGGCCTTAGGGAACGCAGCCCCTCCTACCCCTGGGTGTGCTCCTGTGCCTTCGCCCTCACCACAGAATAAGCCCTGCAATGTGGCCACACAAGTCAACTCAGGAGGAGACATGGGTGTGAGCTTTTGAGGAGAAACCTAAAAGTTCTGTCTTTCTGCATCGTTCTCTCTTCACACCCCTCTTCTCTTTTAAATTATTGCTTTTTTTTTTCTGTCAATGTGCTTGATGTTAAAAGAAAAAGGGTAAATCTCTCTCACTGGCAAGATAGACCAGACAGTGGCCATATGACCCAAGACTTCCAGGGTCATTCTAGATTTGCTGTACTGCAGCATAAATGTTTCAGGGTACTCTTCTCATGGGAACAGTCTCTAGTCATTGTAAGGAATGTGTTCTCCACACCCCTCCCCTTCAATGGACTAGCGGGACCAACCCAAACAAATCACAAGCAATTAATATAAATCTTTTAGCTTAGCTCCAAGCTGCCAGGGAAAAAGAATCTGTGTGACTCAGAATCATTAGTGTCCAATTAATCTATTAGGAAATCACAAACTCAGAAGTATGCTACTGGGGTCATTTGTTCTCTCTATTTCTACAGGCTGGAGCTGGTAATCACCGCTTGTTGGGCACTGAGAATTAGGGGCTTCATACCCAGATATATATTTATCTGTGTGTGTTCATGTATATATTGATTCTGATCGCCATTCTGATTTCCTCTTCTGTTCTCTCCCTGGAAGCACCATTGTTACATAAGTGTGTATGAGTCTGTACGTGTGTGTTATATGTAATATATTTCACAATGGTGTTTGCAGGAAGAAGACAGAAGAGGCAATCAGGATGATAAGGGTAAATTTGTTTAACTAAATATCATCAGATAAATTAGTAAAAGTATTTTAAATAAAGTTTGACGTGTGAGAATCATCCCTTTAGGGAAGCGGAAAATTTGCATGATTATCCCTTTGAGTAACTGGAAACTTGAAGATTATTATTATTATTATTATTATTATTATTTCATGAATGTCTGTGATAGCAAATATGATCACCACTTCAGGGAATACAGTGGACTGATGTCCCCGATCCTGGCCTCTGACTCTAACAGTGTTCTAAGGCTACGCTTTCCATGGATGCATCCGTCCAATGTAAACACCACAGGGAGACAAAGGCAGGCCCACTCCTGGATGTGGGACCCTCTGACAGTTCACTTTGTCACGAGGACTTCAGTCATCATTGTCAAACTTTCTTAGAATTTAAATGTTAGGATCTCTCTCTTTTTTTTTTTCTTTTCTCCCATGTTCTTTACAGTCGTCGGTCCCACAGTATTGTTTTTAAGGGACAAGAAAAATTAGAGTATTTAATATGCCTAAGATAATTGATCTAGGAAGGAAAATCATGAATTTTGACCTAAGTCTGAGGGAAATTTATAATGACTAGAGCATGTCAGAAATGGCTGTGATTGTGCAGATGGAGGTGTCAGTAATCAATGTCCAAAGTTACATTTACTCCAAAGGTTGTTTAGAAAACAAATGAATTCCTTCAGGGTAGCACAGCAGTGATAACTCAATTCATATGTATTAAGATATATATATATATATATATATATATATATATATATATATATATATATGCTCAGCAGATTTTTATATTATTTCTTTCCAGTGTTTATTTACCCAGAAGCATAAAAAAAGTTAAGATGCCCTTCATCCCATCTCAAGCAACAGTAAACACTTTTTGAAGGTCGTAAGTTATTCAGAAACTCCCATTCATTGTGCAGATGGAATCAACTTCGCCCCCCACCAATCACCACCTCCCTTTGATCCTGTGGTCCCTGCTCTGTGTTTGCTTAGGTTCAGATGATGAAGGTATTTAGCTAATTATGCAACCTCCTTCTCTAGTGGAAGAATTTCAGCAAATTGCATCCCGTTCTGACCGGTCTTCCAGGAAAGGCTGTGTGATGTGGAGCGAGGGCATCGAAGTGGAAGTACAGAAGGCCATGTGCTCAGGTGCTGGCCACGTGGCCATGCATGGATCGTCTTCCTCATGGGCGTTCAGGATCTTTTTAAGGGGGCTCTATTTTCATTTGGACTCAACAGATCAAGTGAAAAAGAAACATTTGCCAGGCGGTGGTGGTGCATACCTTTAATCCCAGCACTTGGGAGGCAGAGTCAGGCGGATCTCTGTGAGTTTGAGGCCAGCCTGGTCTACAAGAGCAAGTTCCAGGACATCTAGGACTGTTAAACAAAAAAACCCTGTCTCAAAAAAAAAAAAAAAGAAGGAAAGAAAAAGAAAAAAAGAAACAAAATTTTGTATCTAATGTTAATTTTTCAACCAATAGAAATATATTTATTATAAAAAAGCAATAATTTAGATTTAACTATTGCTTTAGCATCCTCACGTTTGTGAAATTTTGTAGCCCCAAAGAGATATAGGAATGTTTATGTAAATGAATATTAGCATACTGTTACATTTAAATTTTAACAATGAAGCAATAATGGTAGATGTTACATAGCATAGCAGACCATTAAGCAAAACTATACCCATGGATGCATCCTAATCACATAATCTCTCTCTTTTTTTTTTATTGAGAAAAGGAGAAAAAAAAAACAAGTTTCCACCTCCTCCCAGCCTCCCATTTCCCTCCCCCTCCTCCCACCCTTCTCCCCCTCCTCCTACTCTTCTCCCCCTCCCCCCACTCCTCTCCCCCTCCCTCTCCAGTCCAAAGAGCAGTCAGGGTTTTCTGCCCTGTGGTAAGTCCTAGGTCCTCCCCTCTCCGTCCATTCCTAGGAAGGTGAACATCCAAACTGGCTAGGCTCCCACAAAGCCAGCACATTACGTAGGTTCAAAACCCCGTGCCATTGTCCTTGGGTTCTCATCAGCCCTCATTGTTCGCCATGCTCAGAGAGTCCAGTTTTATCCCATGCTTTTTCAGTCACAGTCCAGCTGGCCTTGGTGACATAATCTCTTAAAAACTCTTCTGTTGAAAGAAAAAGTAAAAGAAAGAAGTCAGAGAGACATAAGGTACCAAAGTGAGTCAGAAGGGTTTGAAGGCCAGTTCTGTCTAACAAAGAATGTTGCCGGCCTGGGAGCTTAAAACAGGAACCAAGGCCTGGCAGTGGTAGGTGGGAGCAGGAACCAAGGCCTGGCAGTGGTAGGTGGGAGGTCCTTGGACTCCCCACAGGGCAAGGAACCCTGACGGCTCTTGGGCTGATGAGGGAGGGGGAGTTAATTGGGAGAGGGGGAGGGAAATGGGAGGCGGTTGCAGGGAGGAGGCAGAAATCTTTAATAAATAAATAAATAATTTAAAGAAGAAAAATAAATAAATAAACATAAATCTAAAAAAATAAATAAATAAAGTGGAGATGCAAGCTGGGTGGTCATGGCACATGCCTTTAATTCCAGCACTCAGGAGGCAGAGGCAGGTGGATCTCTGTGAGTTTGAGGCCAGCCTGGTATACAAGAGCTAGTTCCAGGACAGGCTCCAAAGGTACAGAAAAACGCTATCTCAAAAAAAAAAAAAAAAAAAAAAAAATCGGGATACTCTGAGTACTGTGGTTAAAAATGCCACCAGATCATTTTGAGGTTAAGCAAATTGACCCTTACTTTTCTGGTGCATCCTAAGATAGGCAGACAGACAGATATAGGTGTATATACAGATATAAATGGACCTAGGCCATGAGTCATGCTTTAGATAGAAAGTATGTTCCCAAAATCTCAGGTGTTAAAGCCATGGTCCTGAGATGGTGGATCCAATCATCAAAATGAGGACTGTAGAAAAATCAATAACAATCCTGGTGGGCTCATAATTTGATAACATGTCAAGGCGCAGAAACTTGCCGAGATGGTGCCTGCAAGAAGCAAAGAGGCCACTGAGGACCTTGCCTGGAGTCTTTTCTCCTTCTCCTTCAGTTTCCCCCCTCTCCCTCCCCTTCCTCCTCTCATCTCTCTTCCAATCTCCTCTCTCTTTCCAGAAGTTAATTTTCTCTGCTGGACTGCTTTTTCCCTGCTATGGTACTCGGCCTCACAGCTGCCTCAGAATCAGAGGCACCAGACCAATCATCAGCTGAACCTCCAAGATTGTAAACCAAAGACTAAACCTTCCCTTTGTTAAACCTTCTTTCTTGGGTATCTGTCATGGCAATAAGAAACCTGACTAACACACCACCATGTTCAGAGATGCTCAGGCTACAGGCCCCCTAACAGAAAAATACATAATGCAATGAGAACAAACCAATTAGCACAATAAGTGGCTGTAAAAATCACCCAACTGCATATTATTCGGTGGCCACAATGAATAAACTGCAGTAGTACACATGAGAACTGGGGAGTCTCAAAATCAACTTTTAATAAATTAAGTTCAAGAAGAATTTATACTTCAGGATTTCATTGACATCAACGTCAAAAACAAGCACAGTGAAGAGTTTGTCCTGACACTCATACACAGATGGAAAGCTAGGCTAACAAGGTCACAGTCTGAACAAAACTCAAGACAGAAGTTGCTTCCATAGCTAGGAAGGGAAGCAAGGCCATGAGAAGGGCACATAGAGGCACTGGAGAACTGATAAAAATGTTTTCTTTAAATTAAAGCTATGAGTAGGGTATTTATTTTCTCCTTTTCCCATAAAATATATTTTTAAGTTCCTATATAAGGTG